ATGGGGTCCGACCTCTGGGCCTGGTGGAAGTTGATGGATGTTGGTAGAGGCAGCAGTGAATGGGGATTGTGATCTTAGATAAGAGTTTCGTTGGGCTATTTTTGCATAGTGACCAATTAGCTGAGCGACCTTGAGGCTAGTTCATAAAGCCTTCAGAAGTTTTTATTTCACTATGATGTATTGAAGAGCTCCAGCTGCTTAGACGGAGCATTTGCATTACCTATGGGGACTGCTCTTGTAGTGGACTGTGTTTAGACTTTCAAGTTAGTGGTTCCTGACTTGTGATGGCCCCTCTCCCTCATACTTTGGACAGGATAGACTTTTCCTCTATGGCATGCTTTGCCATTCTTACTCATGGGTGGTTCACAGATGCCACGACTGAGGAGATGTGAACAGTATTGGAATTTTTGTTTGTTTGTTTGTTTGTTTGTTTTTGTTTTTCCATGTTTGGGAATAAACTCCAGATAACGTTCTAGGGCTAGGCCACATTCCCTTGTCATGTATGAAACTTTTCACTTCCCAAAGCGTCATTCCCTCCTCCTGAGGATCCCTTTCCCACTGCTGCGTGTCCACAAGCTTCCTGTACCAGACTGTTTCTGCCTTGTTTTCCAGGATTCAAACAAACCAATTCCATGGTACTCCTCCCCCAGCCCAGAGACAGCTGGAGCAAGAGGGCTCTTTGAAGACTGAGGACTTGCCAAAGGAATTTTCCACACATCACTACCAGTGGTCGGTCTCAGAGGGTTAGGGTAGGATTTGGGGAATCCATTTCATTCACATCAGACCATGGCAAGCCGGGGCCTGCCCCTTTACTTGGCCACCCTCTTGACTGGGCTGCTGGAATGCATTGGTTTTGCTGGTGTCCTCTTTGGCTGGACTTCGCTGTTGTTTGTGTTCAAAAAAGAAGGCTACTTTGCAGAACCCTGTCAACAGAACTGCTCGAATAGCAGCAATGCGACAGGGCCCCCTGGTAAGGACAAAGAGTTTTTTTTTTTTTTTCTTTTTTTTTAAAGGAAGCTGTGCCTGGTTCCTGGGAGGTGGAAGAGAGCAGGGAGGACTGACTCCTTTCCTTACTCATGTTGCCAGCCTTTCTATGAGGGGTTGTCAAAATTCTCTGTGTAGAGGAGGTCAGGGAAGGAAGCATCAGATTTTGAAGGGCCCCTAGGGACCTATACGTTTTAATGCAATCTGGCAGTCAGCTTTCTGATCAGCAAAGTTGTTCAAGATAGAGGGTAGCCTCGTCTAGGAACTAACCTCGAAGGAAGGTTAGGTGATTCTGATTTTGGTTAATGTAACCTGGGTTCCTAAGTGCTTTTCTTTTCCATACTCCAAAGCTCAGGATGAGAAGTTCTCACTCATCTTCACTCTGGCGTCCTTCATGAACAACTTCATGACCTTCCCTACTGGCTATATCTTTGACCGCTTCAAGACTACTGTGGCCCGCCTTATAGCCATGTAAGTATAAAGCTCCAGCCTGGGCAGAGGTGAGGGAGAAGAGCCATCCTCTTCCGATATACCCTTGGTTCCCTTTTCTTTGCTCCTTCCCCTGTAGGCAGTAATGTATTATCCTGTTACGCGCTCAACTTCCTGAGAGGCCAGGGTTACAAAATTAGCAAAATGTTTGGTGATACTATCTGCTTTCCTTGTCCTTTGAATCGTCAATCTCATTTCCAGCAGGGCCTTACGTCGAGGTAGCTTAGGCTGTGTCTTCATTCTCCCCCCTCAACATTTTCTGGATAACCCCAATGTTAGAATTTCAGGTTCCCTCTGACTGAGATGGCTCTTGCAATGGGAGTTTCCCTTGCAGATGAGCCAGAGACCTCAGGTTGCTTTTACAGGGTTCTACTGTCTCCTGTATACTATAATGCTCAAGGCCCAGTTCACTGATAAGCTGGCTCTGCTGATCCCTGATATAGCCTAGAGCAGGAGCATGTATGTGAAGAGCTGTCAGGAGGATGGGAAAGCAAGCTCCTTACACTTTAAGCTTTTGGGAGAACAGTATGTTTAAGTCAGACATAAGTTTGAATTTTTAGTTTTCTTTTGTCTCTTGCCCACCATGTGTCCTTTGAACTTCTTCTTTATGGTATGGCTTTTGTTATCTATCTTTACAAAGTCCTCCACCACTAAAGGGCCCCAGAACCTTAGGATTTATCCTGGAATCATTTGAACTTTTTTTTTTTTTTTTTAATGCTTCTGGAAATGGAACCCAGGGCTTCATGTAAGACAGGCAAGTGTCTACTTCTGTATTGGTTACTTTTCTGTTCCTGTAATAAAAAACAAACAAACAAACAAACAAATAACAACAACAACAACAACAAAGGAATGAAAAAAAAATACATGACCAAGGCAACTTATAAAAGGAAGCATTTCATTGGGCTTCTGGTTCCAGAGTCTATGAAGGTGTGGGGAAGGCATGACCTTAGGCAATTGGAACAGCAGGTAAGAGCTCACTTCTGGATCCACAAGCAGAAAGCAGAGAGGACACTGGGGGTCTGTTCAGGCTTTGGAAGTTTCAAAGCCAGCCACCAGTGACACATCTCTTCCAACAAGGCCATGCCTTCTAGTCCTTTCTACCAACTGGGAACCAAGTACATAAATGTATGAACTGATGGGGGGGCATTTTCATTCAAGCCAGCACAACTTCTAAGCCACACCCCTCACTGTGAACTCAATGACTTTGAGTTTGGAATCTAGATCAGTCTGACCCAGACATGTCCAAACCTTCGGACATTGCAACACCAAATTGTCACCTGAACTCTCAACAACCACAGAGTCCAGTTGTATACACAAAATCTTGATAACATTTTTTCTAAGTCTATGATTCTGTTAATTCAAATTCACAGCTATTCTTGGTTGCATGCAGTAACTAACCCTTTCCTTTTCCAGAAAAACCCAGTGAGGTCCAGAGAAAGGCAGCACTGTTTCCAAAGTCTTATCTGGAGGAGGAATTAGAATTCAAGGTTTTGATTTGCATACTAGGCACCAGGGGTTGAGCCTCAGGACAAGAGGGCCTGTGCTCTGCCCACTGTGCTCCTGGGTCTTTCACACATCATGTTGTCAGTTGAGCTTATTACCCAAGACTTCACAGTTTAGCCTTAGACCCTGGGAGGAGCAAAAGGCATTGTCTTAATTATTTTCCTTTACTAGGATAAAATACCCGATAAAAGTAACTTAAGGCTCTTTCTCACAGTCCCAGGTTACCGTCAATCATGGTGATAAAAGTAACTTAAGGCTGTTTCTCACAGTCTCAGGTTATCGTCAATCATGGTCCTCAATCATGGTCGGGAAGTCACAGCAGCGTGAGTTCAAGGGAGCTGTTCACTTGTATCTGTAGTCAAGCAGAGGCTGAATGCTGTTGCTGAGATCACCTTCCTTGTTTTCTGTAGCCCAGGTTCCCCTGCCATGGGAATAGTTCACCCAAGTCAGGATGGGTCTTCCCATATCAGCTAATGGAATCACCTCATTGCCAGGTGATCATAGGTTCTCATCAAGTTTACAATGGAGATTTATTATCAGACTCTCTGTGGAGTCAGATCCACATGTCAGTCTATGAGGACTTCTCTGATGCTGAGCCTCTCAGAAGTGTGTGTGCCTCTGGAGTTCCTTGGCTGAGAATGCTGTCAAGTCCTGGATGTCAAGCAGACTCCTGTCCAGTTCTCATGTGTCTTCTTTTAATTGGATGCTTCCGTATTTCAGATTTTTCTACACCTGTGCCACACTCATCATTGCCTTCACCTCTGCAGGTGGGTGCTGCCAGGTGGATGGGAGAGACGAGCTTGGGGAGTGGATGGATGGGACAGGTGCAGAAGGCAAAGGGCCCGTGGTATTTTCAGAGATCCACAATTTGAAAGAATTCCTAAGAGATGCTGAGTTGTTGCTTGTCTGTGAAAAATTTACCCTCTTGAGGAAAGAATTGTATCTACACAGTATTCAAATGCTTTTTTGCTTTTTGTAACATGCAGGATGATTTCTGAAGACATCTCTTCATTTAGCAGAATCAAAATTGTCAACCCTGTTTCATGCAAAACAAAACAAAACAAAAAAAAAAACAAGCTTCTGATGATTACTATAAGTCTGGGAGCCGGGAGGTAGTGGCACTTGAGAAGCAGACGCAGAGGCAGATCTCAGTGAGTTCGAGGCCAGCCTGGTCTACAAAGCAAGTTCCAGGACAGCTAGGGCTGTTACACAGAGAAACCCTGTTTTGAAAGACAAAACAAAACCAAACAGAAAAAAAACCACAAAACTTCTCTGTTTTTCTTTCCTTTTTTATATGGAGTAGAAAACTGAGAGGAGCTGAGGAGAGGGAGAGGGAGGGGGAGAGGGAAAGGAAGCACAATCTGAGTTTGAAGACTTGCTGGAGGCCACAGACAAATTTGTGGGAAGTGAGCTTGGAAGTAAGTGGTCAAGAGGTAACTCCCAACATTCTTCCCCAGGGTCAGATTAGGTGGCTTAATTTTGGGGGGATGAGACAAAAAGATATGTAAATACATTGCATAATAGCTGTGTTGAAGCCAGCTGACATCATGAGGGAGGCTCCATTTGTGTTTAGCAAGCCCAGTGCCTGAGTGTTTTGGTCCAAACAAATTTCACAGGAGTCACATTTGTAAGTCTTGAGAAAAATCCCCCTATTATTATTATTATTATTATTATTATTATTATTATTATTATTATCATGTGTGCTCACTTGAGTGTGCATGTAGAGTATGTGTACATGTCAGTAGAAGCCAGAAGTGTGCCCTAGGCCCCTCAGATGCCTTGTGTTTTTGAGGCAGCATCTCTTGTTTTATATAGAGCTTGATGATCAGGCTATACTTCCTGTCTGTGGATATTCATGCCTACAGGGTATCTCCCCAGCTGTCTTAGTCCGGGTGTTCTATGGCTGTGAAGAGACACCATGACCACAGCAACTTATAAAAGAAAGCATTAATTGGGGCTGGCTTACAGTTCAGAGATTTAGATCATTATCAGCATGGCAGGCAGCAGGCAGGCAGACATGGTGCTGGAGAGGTAGCTGAGAATTCTACAACTGGATCTGCAGGCAGCAGGAAGAGCAAGACACTGGGCCTAGCTTGGGCTTCTGAAACACGAAATTCATTCATCAAGACTTTTATTTTGGGATAAGTATTGAGGCTAGGGTGATTTTATTATGAAACTGATCTCCAATCTCTAGCTCATTAGGAGAGATGTACATTTGTTAACGACAGAAAGTGAATGGCAAATAGTGTGACTCATCTCTAAAATCATCTCTTCTCAGAGCTTCTCTATGCATAGAACAATAGTTACCGAGGAGGGTGTTGTCTTAGATAGTAACGGTGCTTGCTACCAGGTCTAATGACCTGAGTTTGATTCCCAGGACCCACAAGGTAGAAGGAGAGAACCAACTCCCACAAGTTGTCCTCTGGCCTTCACACATATGCCTGTGTGTGTATGTGTGTACATGAGACACACACACACACACACACACACACACACACACACACAAATAAAAATGTGAAAAACCAAACCAAAAAAAACCCAAAAACCAAAAAACAAAAACAAACCTAGGATGCTAGTACAAACCTAATATGCCAGCAACCTTTAGATTATCTGGTACAAAAATTGTTGTCTTCCCCAGGGACCCCCCTCCCACCCCAGACAGGGTTTCTTTGTGTAGTCCTGGCTGTCCTGGAACTCTCTCTGTAGACCAGGCTGGTCTCAAACTTGGAGATCCACTTGCCTCTGCCTTCCCAATGCTGTGGTTAAAGGTATGTGCCATTACTGTCTAGCCAAAATGGTTCCTTTTCAGTGATTTTTGAGTCATTTAGAGACTATCCAACATTTAGGAGGCCTGTTGCTTACATGTCAGTTTTGCTTGCTTGTTTTTGTTGTTGTTTTGTTTAGAACCAGGAACAGGCTTACTCACGGAAGCCTTTCTAATGCCAATCTCTCCACAATGGGGAGTGCTTAAAGTTTCACAAACAAAGGAAAAGGTCACAGGCATTTCTCTCTCAGTTTTCATAGTGCTCCAGTGCAGCAGGGCAAAGGCTGTTGTTTCTATGTAGCAGGAGAGGGGAGAGATGCAGATTCAGAAGGTAGCTCAAGGTCATAGCTATGCCATGATTTTGAGGCTGGACTTGGGGACTGACACCAGAGTCCTCCTCTGCCACAGGGATGGAGCAGACATTTGTGGTCTCCCGGAGACCCAGGACCATCTTTGGTGAGAAGAGGGTTTCAGGGCACCTCAGCAGGCACGATTGGGAAGTCTATTGACCATTCTCTAAAGCCCTCAAAGGACACCAGCAGGCTGGTGAAACAAGCTCCAAGGGATCTGTGTTGTTGGGAGCCTCACGGTGGTGAGAGCTGGAGCCTCCTGGAGGAGAGGGGAGTGTGTACAACTTTTGAGGCTTTGGGCTACAAGGAAATCACCATTCCTGTGACTTTTATGGTTCCAGACTCTGCCCTGCTGCTCTTCCTGGCCATGCCAATGCTTGCGGTTGGAGGAATCCTATTTCTCATCACCAACCTACAGGTGTGAGCCTGCATCCCTCTTCTTTATACCAGGAACCTGGGGGAGAATTTGGGGCATCATTTGTTTCCAGAGGGGTTGACCCAAACTAGTGAGGGAGGAATTGGGGTGAAAGGGGCTTGGGATATTAATCACGCCTGGCCCAAGCTGGATGCTAAGGAGGGAAAATAATTGTTTCATGAATAAATAAATCAGCCAGACTTGTCTTCTCCAGATTGGGAATCTCTTTGGCAAACACCGCTCAACCATCATCACCCTCTACAATGGAGCGTTTGACTCCTCCTCAGTAGTCTTCCTCATCATTAAGGTAAAAACACCCATAGCTGGGCTGAGGGGATAGCCCAGTGACTAAAGTGCCTGCTGTGTGAGCACAAGTAGCCAAGTTAGATTCCCAGAACACATGTGAAAAAGCAGAGTGCTCTGGTGTGTGCTTTGTAATCCCGGTGTGGGGTATTGGAAGCAGGTAAATCGCTGTGGCTAGCTTCGTTTACTTGGCAAATCACAAGGCCAGTGAGAGGCCTTCTCTCTTAAGGAATGATACCCGAGTCTGTTCTCTGGCTTCCATACACTGTCATACACATATTCACACATGTAATACTATTACTCAACATTTATTGAGCCCTTGAGCCCTTATTTATTCCAGATACTTGTCATGATTTCTGCCAGCCTTCGATGCAGGAACTATTTAAATCCATGTCTCAGGTGACACATTTGAGTCTCAGGGAGATCATGATGCTTCCAAAAGTTCTGCACTGATAACTATGGTGTTTGAACTTGCACTTAGACCCATCTGTTTTAGAGGTGAGCTTGTAACCACCAAGTTCCCTCTTTAAATTAAGACTATACTCTTTGCTTAGTTGGGAAGGAAAATGTGGTCATGATATCCTTGAGTCAGGGCTGGACAGAAGCTGGGGACTCTGCTGAAGGGGACATTTCCTAATGTGAGCTTCAGCTTTGGAAACTGGGTAGGAAGGGCTAGTGGGGTATTAGAGACCACACAGGGACCTCTCTGTCTCTCCCAAGGGCCAGCCATGAGTGTCAGGAGAACAAACTGTTGGCAAGGATGTTAGTAGCCCCATTAACAACCATTCTGCTAATGGTTTTGTTTTTATTAAATTAATTGCTGTTTTTATTTAAGAGAAGGCCTCTTAAGCTGGCCCAAGACTCACTGTGTAGTCCACTTTGCTATCAAACTCATGATCATTCTTTCTCGGCTTTCTAAGTGCCAGGATTACAAACATGTGTCATGACACCTAGCTTCAATTAATTTGTGTGAGGCAGCACCTGACTGTGTAAGGCAGGCTGGACTGAATTTTGTAGCCCAGGCTAGCCTCAGCTCTCTGTTATTCTGCCTTAGGCTCTCTGGTGCTGAGGTTACAGGCAGGAATCAACAAACCTGGATTTGCTAACGATTTTTGTGTTTAAGTCATTGCTAACAGTTTTATCTGGCTACTGCCTTACTGAATGCATAGTATGAATTTTGATTGGTCTAAGGTAACCTTGGCAAACTCTGTCTCTACTACCAGTAGTACTTGAAAATGAGACAAAGCAGGTGTGTAGTGTCTAACTTCAGGGATGTTTCCTCCTTGAAGGAGGGTGAAAGCAGAGCTGAAAGAAAACCTTTAGGCTGGGACTAGCTCAGTTGTTAGAATGCCTGCCTCGAATGCACAAAGCCCAGGGTTCAAACCCCAGCTCTGCGTAATTAGACTTTGTAGCATGCCTGTAATCCTAGCACAAGGGAAATGAAGATAGGAGGCTCAGAAGTTCAAGGTCATTTTATACAGTGAACTTGGAGCCTGCCTGGCCTACCCAAGACCTTGTTGCAACAACAAAAAGCCTTTTTCCTGAAAGGAGACGATTTCTCTGTTCTTCCTCTTTGAAGGCTGCAGTGGGACAGAAGGTGTGTTAGGTGACACTGTAGTAACGACACTTTGATTATGAAGCAACAAGCTGGGGCACAATGACTGAGCAACATGAGTGAAAATGGTGGATCGGAAACTGTGCAACCTAGGACTCTCTCTGGGCTTTTATTAGACCACGCACGGGCTCATGAACCTCACTTAGTCCCATGGGCACCTTGTGTAGAGAGTCTGAGTTTCCCCGGGACTCGTTAGATCCTCTGCTGCTGGCACAAGAGCCACTTTCCAGGTTCCTTTTCCTTGATGCATCTGCTCTCCAGAGGTGGAAGAGAAGGACTGGGGCAGGAATGAGATTCTTAGTTTAATATGACTCAGCTGCTTCCTCTATGGAAGCAGACCTCAGTGTCACCCTCCATAGAGCCTTATCTCAACCTGAAAGTTGAGGAATTTAGAGGTTCCCTTTGTTATGTGAGTCACTTAGGAGAACACAGGGGAAGCTCGGTAGCTTCCCTCAGATGTGTTTTATAAGCTGAACTCTTGTGTGAAGAGTTGACCAGAAGGACTTCTTGCTGTTAGAAAGGAATAGCATAAAGGCAAAAAAAATCTCTGAGATCATGTTGAGGAGGTTCCACCAGACTGTAGGGCCAGATGACAAGATAGCCCCTTGCTACTTACTGGACCCTGGGTGAAGGAACATGAGGACCAGGAGTCCTTGGGCAGCTCCAGGAGGACCGGCAGGAGGCTGTGCTGAAGTTTTTGGAAATGTGGCTTCCAGCTTCTGCCTCCTACACTTTTCACTTGTGATAAATACATATAGCATAAAATTTGCTATCAGAATTTTAAAAAGTTATCTATTGATGAAGTGTGTGGGGGAGTGGGAGGTGGGCACAGCATGTCTGTGGAGGTCAGAAAGATACCTTGAGGGAGTCTGTCCATCATGTGGGTTGTGGGTGTTGAACTCAGATGATCAAGCTTGGCAGCAAGCCCCTTTGCCCACTGGACCCTCCTGCTGAGTCATAACCATTTTTTTTAAGTGTACAGTTAATAGTTTTAAGGACATTTATGCTGCAGGGCAACCAACACCATCATTCATCTCCAGAAATCTTCACATTATGAAATTGAAACCCTGTACCTGTTAACACAAGTCCCTCATTGCTTCCACCCCGGTTCCAGCCTCTAACAGTTGCCATTCTACTTTCTATGAGTTTGACACCCCGGCTCCTCCAGGAATCTCTTGTAGGTAGAATGACGCAGAATTTGTCTTTATGTGACTGGCTCTCTTCACTTGATGTCCTGTTCTCGAGGTTCATCTGTATTGTGGCGTGTGCCGTGATAGTCTTCCTTTTTTTAAAAGGCTGAATAAGACTCCATCAAGCGGCTATACCACAGTTTGTTCATGCATTCACTTACCCACAGACACTCTTTCTCTCCACTTTTGACTATGGGCTGCAGTGGTCTTGTGAACACTGGCATAATTCTGATGTGTTGCTCCTTTCTCCGCAGCTCCTTCATGAACGGGACATCAGTCTCAGGGCCTCCTTCCTCTTCCTGTCTGTCTGCAGTGTCTGGCATGTTGGGCGCACTTTTTTCCTGATGCCTCGGGGACACATCCCTTACCCACTGCCGCCCAACTACAGTTATGGGTAAGTATGATTGGCCAGTGCCCCACCTGATCTGAGGCAGGAAAAATAAATGATTAAGCCTGTTATAGGAGAAGAGCGTATTAGTTAGCCACTCCTGCACAACAAGGATACCGAGTTTTCTTTCTTCCCTCCTTTCTTTCTTCCTTTCTTCTTTCTTTCTTTCTTTCTTTCTTTCTTTCTTTCTTTCTTTCTAGATTTACTCACTTTTATTTCATGTGTAGGAGTGTTTTACCTGTGTTAATGCATGTATACCATGTGTGTGCCTGGTGCCCCTGGAGGTCAGAAAAAGGTGTCAGATCCCCTAGAACTAGAGTTACAGATGGATGTGAGCTGCCATGTGGGTGCTGGGAATCCAGCCTGGATCCTCTGAAAGAGCAGAAAATCCGCTTAATGGCTGAGCCATCTCTCCAGCTCCTAAGAATTTATTTCTTACATCAGAGCCAGATTTGGATGATCTTATCACTTATGCCTCTGATCATCTGATGTGTTAGCAAGGAGTTGGCTGGTCTGCCATGCCCAAGCTTACATTGGGTTTGGAGTGACAGGCATGTTGGTGTCACAGGCTAATGCTCCAGCAGGCTTGCTTGGGTGTGTGCACATAGTGATTCCAGGGTTCAGAGAGGGGGCAGAGATGCCCACAGTTCTTGGAAGTTTCCACTTGGAACTGATGCATCAGTAGCATGCTACATTGATCCATCACTTGTATGCTACATTCTCTTGGCTGAAGCAGTTCGCGTATCTAGCCTTGGTGATGATGAAAAATGGGCTGAGTTCATTGCCAAGGGTGGAGACAGAGGAGGTGGATACCACAATCAGGTCAGCTGTCAGTTACAGGGAGCCGAGGGGGGGTCTTCATTTGCCGCTCATTTGCTACTTGTTATGTTCATGTGCTCTTTGCTTCCCATTCTCATGGTCACCTTTCCCACTGACAGCCTTGCCTTTGTTTTCCAGCTGAAGACATGAGGCTCTGAGGGGTAAGATGGAGCCCTGTGGCAGACCTACCCTCTTCTTACATACTTCCAGAGTACCCCAAGCTTGCTTGCCTGTGAAAATCAATAAGATCATTACAATAAAGAATAAAATGGGAAAATGGAAACCTGGCCCCCAGCCAATAGGCACCTTGATTTAATTGGCCTGGCTGCCCCTTGTCCATCGAGGTTGTTCAAAAGCGGTTCCATGTGCAGTAAGATAAGGATCTTCCGTACTGCTCTCCCTGGTTGGGTTTTGGTCCGGCTCACAGTCCTCAGCCTGGCTGCCCGGGCTTTTGTTTCCACAGCTTGTGCTCCAGGTTTGGCACCAAAAAGGAAGAGAAGAAGACAACTGAGTGTGAAATCAAGGAGCTGCAGTCAAAGGAGTTTCTTTCACCAAAGGAAGGTGAATTCTGCTGGTTTACCCATGTCCCCTGTGGACACCTGCAGCCCTGTGCTGGCCTACTCTTACGTCTTCCCAGGGGTTCAGAATGAGGTCAGGCCAGGCAAAGAAGATCCCATAAGCATTTTCTCAATCTCCTCACTTCAGAGAGGGTCCAGAGAGGGCAGGACCTTTGTGTCTTTTCAGTGTTTCTTTCTTATCTTATCTACATTCTTCAACTCTCCTCACACTGAAATCTACCTTCCATTGCCCTAATCCCCACAGCCTGGTCTTGTCCTTTCTTGGGACTCCAGGGCATCAAGGCTGCTGTCTGTGTTTTCATTTCTTTCTGTCTCTTGGATATGACCTCTTTCCATCTGTCCCATCTCTACCTCTTCCTTCTTCCCTCTTCTGTCTGCTCTGGTCTTTGGTTATGAATGTTATAAACCATTGCTGGCTACAGTAGAAGTAAAAATAGAAGGAGAAGGAGGAGAAGGAGGAGGAGGAGGAGGAGGAGGAGGAAGAGGAGGGAGGGAATGGAGAGAGGCAGGTCATAGGGCAGAAGTAGCAGCTGGGCAGAGGAAAGCATTTTCTAGAACAGGAAAGTTAATAGAATTACATTGTAGTTGAGTTTTTTTTTCTATATGAGCAGATTTTAGCTGTTCTTGGCACACAAAAAATGGGCAACAATATGAGATGATGGATATGTTAATTTTCTTTGCTATGGTAACCATTTTACTATCTATATGTACCCGATGACAGCATGTTGTATGCCTTAAATACACACAATGAAATTTATTTGTTAAAAAAAAAAGAATAGGGGCCATGGATGTAGCTCAGTAGAGTCCTTGCCTAGCATGTGCAAAGCTTTGGGTTCAATCCCAGCACTGTGTATATCTGGGCATAGTGGAAAGTGGGGGTCAGAAGTTCAATGTCAACCCTAGCTACATTGTGAGTTCAGTGCAGTCTGGGCTACATAAGACTCTGTCTCAAACAATCAAAAGAATAAGAGGACTGTGGAAGGCTCATATAATTAAGAGGAAAGTGAATTGCCAGACTACAGAGGTATGGAACCAGGCTGCCTCTGGACATTCTTGTAGTCTTTAGCCAGCCTACCTGCTAAGGTCAACTGGGTGAGGAACAGAACATTTAATTTATGGTCTCAACTGGACCATGGATAACAAGGGAGTCCTAAGGAAATGAGGGATTTTGGGACCAAGAGAAAAGCAGGGGACGCTGGGCAGTGGTGGCACATGCCTTTAATCCCAGCATTCGGGAGGCAGAGGCAGGCGGATCTCTATGAGGTCGAGACCAGCCTGGTCTACAAGAGCTAGTTCCAGGACAGCCTCCAAAGCCACAGAGAAACCCTGTCTTGAAAAACAAAACAAAATAACAAAACAAACAAAAGAAAGAAAGGAAAGGAGAAAGGAAAGAAGGAAGGAAGGAAGGAAGGAAGGAACAATAGCTGCCCATCACCAATCCTCACTTTGTCCCAATGTTCTCCTCGTCTTTCATTTCACCATCCTGGCTGAGAAAGATCAGGAAGGTACAGCAATAAGTGCCATTGAGTAGGCTGTGAGAGACAGATCAGATTTCAGGACACGGAAGAACAGGAGGAGAGCCATCCAGGGAGGAAGGACAAGATGACAAAGTGTGGTGGAGGGGCAAGGGGAATTCAGGTAGCCCATAGAAGACAAGCATGGAAGGTGAGCTTAGGCCTGATACTGTCTCATTAGGCCTCTTTCCCTGTCATTTATACCCAGTTCCTTCTTTCTCCATCAGAGAACTCTGGACCAGGGCAGCTGCAGGAGCAGGAACAGCAGCAGCAGCAGCAGCAGCAGCAGCAGCAGCAGCAGCAGCAGCAATGCTCGTTTAGAAGCTGTGTGCTCTCTCGTCGATTTGTCTTGCATGTGGTGTGGTTGTCCACCATCCAGTTATGGCATTACCTCTTCATTGGTACTCTCAACTCTCTATTAAACAGATTGGCTGATAATGACAGTGTGCAAGGTATGTGGGGGGCTTTGAAGCAGTCTTTTGGTAGGTCTCAGGTAGTGAGTCAGGAATGGGTGCTGTGCCAGCAAAGCTGTGTGATCTTGGAGGGTTTCTCAGGGCCTGGGGAGGAGGGCTGAAGAAGAGAAAGGCAGGATGGCAGAGTCTTCTCTTGTAAATTACCCTGGAAATTACTTCTCTCCCAACCCCTCTCTACAGTCAGTGCCTTCACTAATGCCTTCGCCATCACCCAGTTTTTTGGGGTACTGTGTGCCCCCTGGAATGGCTTGCTCATGGACCGCCTTAAACAGAAGTATCAGAAGGAAGCCAAAAAGACAGGTGAGACTGGGAGCCAGCGATCTTCACAGACTTCCTTTGTGTTTAGCCTTTTTCTCTGCGCTTGTTCATCCATCCACCCAATGCTTGGTCGTACATTTTGTGTCAGCCACAGTACCAGACCCATGAGGATTTAGCAGTGGATGACACAGGTGTATTTTGTCTTCCCAAACTGTTCCTGATCCAGAGGGTAGAGAAAGTAATCAGGTAGTTACAATTCATGAGTTACAGATGGTCTGTAACCAATGGAGTGCTGATTCCATGATGAGGCAAAGTCACACCCATACAGCCTTTCTGTATCTACTTTCATTGTCCACAGATTACAGGAGATAGTCAGCACTTTACTGGATAGTAGGCTTTCTGTTAGATGTGAAATGTTCTAAGCATATTTGAGCTAGCATACACTGAGCCACGATACCCCACAGGCTAAGTATATTAAATGCATTTTCAACTTGATGGTATTTTTGGCTTCTGATGGATTTTTTCTGGATATAGCTCCACTGTGCGTCAGGGAGCCTCTGCTACACGCAGCGGGCTCTGGACACCAAGAAGGGTGTATCACTTGTTGAGGGTGAGGCGGGTTGCTAGGGAAGGTGGAGGGAGCAGTACCTAAAGTAGGACAGAAAAGGTTAAGAAGGGAGGACAGGGACAGACAGGAGCCTGCTGGTGGCTGAGGAACAAAATGTCATGAGTGGTGAAAGAGAAGGCATTCAGGAATCTAGATACTTCTTGCAAGTGATTCAAGATAACTTAAGTTCGGAGTGCATAAGAGTTGCAGGAAAACCCTGAAGGATTCAGGCTACTCCACATTGCCTTAGAGAGTTAGAGCATGGTCCTTGTGTGTGATTGGCAGAACAGAAGGATGCTGGGACATTTCACCTCTTGGAAGCTGGGGGATAAGGGATAAAAGGAGAGAACACGGTTTACTGTTTGCTTTGTCTGCTCCCTCCTCTCAGCTCTCTGCACCCTAACCCCGAGGCACTATTTTGAAATCAAGTTTAGACAGTGTACCGTATTTACTAGCAAATACTTCATAGGTTCTCCTTAACAAACAGAGCCTCTCGTAAGTAAACGTCACCATGAAAATCCCCAATGGTTTCTTAATATTTTCTAATATGCAGCTGCTTTTCAGATCTCCCTGACTGTCTTCTTCAGTACATTGATTCATGACTGATTTGTTCAGTGTCTCCATACAAAGTCCACACAAAACTGAAAGGAGAAAGTTCAATTGATGTGTCTTTTGCATATTTTTTTAACATTTATTTATTTGAGACAGGGTCTCATCTAGCCTAAGCTATCCTCCAAATTGCTATAATAATCAAGGCTGGCCTTGAACCCACTATACAGTTGAGGCTTTGAACTTCTGATCCTTTTGCTGTTACTTCCCAGGTGCTGGGATTACAGGCTTACCACCATGGCCAGCTAACTGACTTTTTTCCTCTTCTTTTTCTGATACTGGGGAAAGAACCCTGAGTCTCATGCATGCTAAGCAAATGCTTTACCACTGAGTTATGTCCCCGGCTCCAGTACTCTTCCTTTATGATTTACGTCAGTTATTTGTTGAAGAAAGCGGGATATTTTTCCTGTCAGATTTCCCACATTTGGACTTGGCATCCTTCGTGTATTTCGTGAATGGGCTCCTTTGATTGGGCATTTCCTGTAAATAGGCAGATTCGAAACTTGGAGGAGACTCAATTTTTTTTTTTTTTTCTGGCAAGAATGAGTAGAAATGGAGTTGTGGCCTTTCTCTGGTTCCTTTGCAGGCCACTGCTATCTATTGTTTTAGCTGTTATGACGCTGACACAGGTCAGTTGCTTCAGAATTTGACAGTCTGATCCATCCATTATAACGCTTCCCATCAGCTAGAGCAGTTAATGACTTTGCAACTACTGCGATCAATTTGAGACCCATGATTTGATTAGGGTGCTATTTCCATCTTGCCTTCAGCTTTTTTTTTTTTTTTTTTTTTTTTTTTGGTTTTTCAAGACAGGGTTTCTCTGTGGCTTTGGAGGCTGTCCTGAAACTAGCTCTTGTAGAGCAGGCTGGTCTCGAACTCACAGAGATCCACCCACCTCTGCTTCCCGAGTGCTGGGATTAAAGGCATGCGCCACCAATGCCAGGCTTTCCCTTCAACTTTTAGCAGCAACAGTTCCTCCAGAAGACATAGTTTCTCATGCTATTCTTTATGCTGAAGTAAACACTTGCCTTCCTCCTGTTGAAACAGTTTCAGGATGATGAGTTGGTGCCTTAGGGAAGTCACACCGTACCAGAGACATGGGATGGCTGTGCTATGGAGTCCAGCTGGATACACACTTAAGCTCAATGGTCTCATTTTGTGTCTAAGTTTTTAAAACTTTATTTATTTTTCTTTTAAAAACTTTTTTTGAGAATTTCAAATGTGTATGCCATGACATAGAATCATACCTGATATTTTTTTTCTTTTGGAGAAAAGATTGCTTTGTTTGAAAAAGTTTTTTTAATCACACAGTGTATCTAACATGTTGTCATCCTCCTCTGCCTTCTTCATTGCTGGAGATGGGGCTCAGGGCTGATCATGAGTGTTCTGAACCACAATTCCATAGGCCCTCACTATTCTTTATTAGATCCTTCCTTCCTTCCTTCCTTCCTTCCTTCCTTCTTCCCTCCCACTCTTCCCTCCTCCCTTCTTCCTTCCTTTTTTTTTTTTGAGATTGGATCTCACTATGTATGTAGTCCTGGCTGACCTGGGACTCACAAAGATCTACCTGCCTCTGCTTCCTGAATGCTGAGGTTAAAGGTGTGTGCTACCATGCCTAGTTTAAAGTATTCTTTTTTCTTTCTTTCTTTTTTTTTTTTTTTTTTTTTTTTTTTTTTTGAGACAGGGTTTCTCTGTGGCTTTGGAGGCTGTCCTGAAACTAGCTCTTGTAGACCAGGTCTCGAACTTACAGAGATTCGCCTGCCTCTGCCTTCTGAGTGCTGGGATTAAAGGCATG